AAAATAAGAAATAAAATGTTTGTGTTTGTGTTTGTTTTTTTTTTCTAGTAGTTATCGTTTCATATAAATGGTAGAACGCTCCAAAAGAATTTTCTTTTTTAGGTAATCGATCAACTAGACATTGAGTATGAGAAGAGTTTGCATGCGATAGAGACTTACCTGCTTTCCGATTATACGACAAGGGTGTGGGTGTGGGTGTGGGTGGATCAAATAGAAACAGATCAATCTATATCTCTCAGATACAAATCAATCTGCTAGTCTCAACTCTTGCTTTTTAGCAACCGATGTAGTCATATATATTTTGACAAATTGAATATTCGTGCTTTATGAAATAATAAAAAGAGAATACAGAGTTTATTTTCGCCAACGCGTTTAAATTGAAGTTGAAGCTAATACATATGCTTGATTACCACGACCACTTATCGCATTTTTGGAACTTCTTGAATGATCTTCTAACCATTTTAATATACGATTTGATTCAAGATATCGACGAAGTTTTTTCTTATTCTTATCTTTTTTCGATCTCTTATTAGTATTTAACAATATCGGTTCATCTTTCACTTTTACTTCCACGTCAGATACATTATCATTTTCAAATAGAAACAGATCAATCTATATCTCTCAGATACAAATCAATCTGCTAGTCTCAATTCTTGCTTTTCAGCAACCGATGTAGTCGTAATTAATTTGTCAAATTGAGTATTCGTGCTTTATGAAATAATAAAAAGAGAATGCAGAGTTTATTTTCGCCGACGCGTTTCATGTTTATTTTATTGAAATAATAAAACACTCGTCAGGGCTCTGCATTACACAAACACAAATTCTAAAACAATTCATATCATACTTAAACGCTAATTGTAACTTTAACTACATTTAAGACACAAATATAACAATAATTATAATGAAAGCTACGCAGTGACATGAAAAACAAAACAAAAAACTGATAAACATACATAAAAATACAAAACTACAAAGCTACGTTGACTAATATAAAGAATTCACTAAGTAATAACCCACGTTTGAGCCTCGATAGTTTATTTGAAATAATAACATTCTAAAGGCACAGATCACAAACATGTGTTATTGTTGTCGATATATTAGTACGTGTACGTGATAGTGAAGTTTTTAGCTAGATAATATCACTAATTTGTTTCTGAAGATATAAATAATATCACTTATTTGTCTCTGAAGATATTGATAATATCATTTATTTGTAACAAATCGATTATTACGACATTGTCGACGTTGAAATTAGTTAATAACCACCAGTCAAAAGATTAATTGATTGATCAATAAATTTTGCTTGATGAAATTGGTTGATGACCAATAAATTTTTAACAATCATTGTTAGAGATAATTTCAATTAAATGAAGGTAGACAATTGAAATAGTACGATTCTTGTGTTATCGCTTATTTGTCTCTGAAGATATAAACATGGGCAATTGAAATAATATTATTCATTTATTTGTCTCTAAAGATATGAATGTAAACAGTTGAAATAATATTATTCATGTGATATCACTTATTTGTCTTTATTTATCTCCAAAGATATGGACAATTAACAAGATTTGCAAATTGAAAGCATAATGAATTGATCAATAAGTTTTGCTTGATGAAATTGGTTGATAAAAACAATTAATGGTCAATAAATTTTGCTTCATTAAATTGTCCAATAGGTTCGAAGTATATTAACAGATATATCACTACATATATCTAATGAAATTATCTATTATGTTTTCGTATGTACTAACCGCCTTTGGAGGTTATTAACATTGCGTGTACCAAGAATAGGTATAACTTCATTAATTGGAGACTCACCAAAATATTTATTCCATAATGTATGGAATTTACCTGGAAATGTTTTCATATTTGAACAATATGTAAAATGTACAAACATTGTCTTTCTATAATCAATTAGTACTTTTTCTTTTATTGGAGAGTCTATAACTTTTTGACGATAATTATCATAATTATTTACTGTTAGAAGCTGATCAATATTGAATTTTAATAATATATATTGAAATTGTTCATTAATAAATTTATTTGGATATTTATTTAATAATAATCCTATCCGTAACTGTTCACGTTCATTTAGATATGCTTGAAAGGTTGAGCAATATCTAATTGCACGCAATACCATAATAAAAATGATATTTTTCTTCATATGTAACGGATGAATACTATTGAATGGCAAATAATATGGTTCATAAGATGGCTTTACATATACTGTAGTAAACAATTGATCATCTTGATTCTCTATATGTAAATCGAGAAAATCAACTGCTGAACCTATATTTTCAGATAATTTAATATTTTCGTCGAAATGATTCCATTTATCGATTTGTTTAAATAAATGCCGAACAGGCCAATTAATTACTATAAATATATCATCAATATATCTAGAATATAATCCACCACTATTGTTCGTAAATCAAATAGAAACAGATCAATCTATACCTCTCAGATACAAATCAATCTGCTAGGGTGTGGGTGTGGGTGTGGGTGTGGGTGTGGGTGTGGGTGTGGGTGTGGGTGTGGGTGTGGGTGTGGGTGTGGGTGTGGGTGTGGGTGTGGGTGTGGGTGCGGGTGTGGGTGTGGGTGTGGGTGTGGGTGTGGGTGTGGGTGTGGGTGTGGGTGTGGGTGTGGGTGTGGGTGTGGGTGTGTATAAGTTACCACGATAATCTAATAGATTATTTCTGTTGTTCCTAACTCAAACTTATCAAGTGGCCTCAGTACCAGTTCGAAATGAATTCAAAAGTTTAAAATTTTGAACCCAAAACATGACACCTGAAAAATCTACTTTAAGGTAATAGAACCTAAAGCAGATTCACCTACAATAGTAGTGGGTGTGTATAAGTTACCACGATAACCTAATAGATTATTTCTGTTGTTCCTAACTCAAACTTATCAAGTGACCTCAGTACCAGTTCGAAATGAATTCAAAAGTTTAAAATTTTGAACCCAAAACATGATACCTGAGGGTGGGTGGGTGTGGGGTGTGTATACAATTGAACTTCATTTAATAGCACAAGCTATGCTTACGACCGGTTTCGACCTTGCTTAAGGGTCTTCATCAGGTAAGT